TCCAGGAAAGCTCAGGCCTAATACTTCACTGACACGATGTTCATTCCTGGAGGCACCTGGCGAACAGAAAACAAGCCCTTTTAACAGCTTGCAGCAGCATTCGGCAACTGGCTGAGTGGGAAGCGGGAAGTTAAGTGGCCGCTGGCCCCATTCAGAACTGCACCAGAAAGGGATGGGTAGCTCTGGCACTGCCATTCTTACAGCCAGCTGCTATGCCTGATCCTCTGCTGTTTGTGTTCAGTGTCATATGAAGGATGACACTTCATGCTCCCACCATACCGATGCAAAGCGTTCACCAGCCAGAGAGGAACCCTTAATCTTAACTGTACAAGGATATAAACGACAGCCAAGGATACAGGGAGAATGAAACCATCAGGTTGTCCAAGGACAGGCTGGTAGCTCTTAAGTAGCAAAGCAAAATTAATATATACATGAATGAGCTCACCCACCTGGCTCTCTTTAACCACTCTTTTTCCCCCAATATCCCAGTCCTATCAGGAGTTTCCTGATTCATACTGTGTGACCAGGCAGGACAAAGCTGGTTTGTTGTTTGGAAGTGACACACAGCAGACAGATCATAGTAACTCCTCTACTTCTGACTTCTCACATCAAAAGCAGACAGTTTGCCATTTAAAGAGGCAGACTTGTCGTTTAAATGCTATTGTTGTAGGAACACATTTACTTTTTTTCTGTCTTCACATTCGGGAGGTTGACATTCCCAAGTATACTTTCCAAACCATGGACTAAAATATTCATTTACTTTCCTCTTCAAACACTGTAAACATTTTCCCTTAGGCACCTTCCGGCAAAAACATGTATCTGAAAGCTAAAAAGTGATTATGCATTTAGGTGTTATGCATTTAAACTGCGTGGTTTTGATACAGGCAAAGCAGGGGTTTAGCAGTTTCGCTTCAGACGAAATCCCTGGGTTTGGTATCCTAGTGTAGGACCTTAAGAGGAGGTTACATCACCACTGCAGAACCAGCAACGGTGAGCAGAGGAAGCTGATATAAGGGAACCCAAAAAGCTGATGTATTGCTAAAAAAGAAGTTAATAGATGAAGAAGACTGGGATGTTAAAACTATAAAATGTTTTGAACTGCTGTTTTGTATAAACAAATGACACTCCCATGGTGTAGCCCCAACTCAGCAAAGCAACACAAGCAATCTGTCTATAAAGACAAGCACTTACTGAATCAAGGTCTTGTATAAAGAGAGGGGTATAAATATCCAAAAATAGACTTTGCAGTGGAACAAGGTAATTTAGAAAAAGACAACAACCAACCCACCCCCCAAAAAAGATTACTAATTAGGTGGAAACTTCCCCAAGTCTATCTCTAGTGAAGAGAACCGTCTGCCCTAGGACACCAGACTGCTTTCATCAGCCCAGTCAGTTCCATGTGTGCTCGCAGGCAACGCTCAGACACACAGTGGGAGGTAGAAAGCAAAGACCGCCTGGTTCCCTGCAAGGAGTGACAGCCGCCCTGGGAACTCGTTGGCGGCACGACAGCATTACCAACTCCTCGGTTTCATGCTGTCAGAGATATCTGGCAGGACAGCTGTCCCCAAAGACAGCGCAGAACGCGCTCCCCCCAGCAAAGAGGGGAGCCCATGCGTAACCTGATAAACAGTGGTGCCTGGAAAAGTATGTCCTGAACAAGGCCTTAAACACGGGTTTGATCCTCCCTTCTCCTACAGACCTACGCTGTGACCCTTCTTCTTTGCTCTCCCCCACCTGAAGGAGCCAACATAACCTTGAGAATGGAGTGTCCCTTCTCTTGCGTCCTGATTTGGGGCCATGGATACTCCCACAGCAGAAACCCTTTAGCCAAATCCTGAGCCTTACGGCACAGCTGCGGAAGCGGAGAGAAGGTGGCTCCTTCCCCTCGTTGTTGTCACACACCTGAGACGGATGGCACAATATTTAGCACAGTTTTTCTGCTCACTGGTAACAGAGGAAAAGGCGGCAGAAAGACGGCAGTTGAGATTAGAACAAAACACATCACTCACCAGATAAATCCAATAGGCCAGTGACAGTCAGAAGAAGGATGGGGAGTGTTTCCTGCATCTTGTGAGGCAGCTCCTGTGTCACTGCTGCTTCGGAGCAACGGGCGTTTGCTGTGTTTGTTCTGGAAGTGAAGGGTATTGGGTTACTTTATAAGAGCGTAGGCCAGAGAGCAACCAATAATCTGTTCCAAAAAAACAAAAAAAAAAGAGCAGCCTGCACCAATTGGAATCCATTGATTTTTAACAAAAGAAGGGTTCACATGCGTGGCAGAGATGGAAAGATGGAAAACCGTAAACATGACAGTTTGCCGATGCAAGGCAGCTGAGGACTTTGGGCTTGGCTAATTTGGAGAAAAGGAGGATGAGGGGCGACCACATTGCTCTCTGCAGCTTCCTGAGAAGAGGATGAGGAGAGGGAGGTGCTATCTTGTCTCCCTGCGATCCAGGGACGGTTCAAAGCTGCATCGGGGTGGTTCAGATTTGACATTAGGAAGCATTCTGCTACCGGGAGTGGTCAAACCCGGGAACAGGCTTCCTGGAGAGTGATCCATGCCCCATACCTGTCAGTGTTAAGGAGGCATTTGGACAATGCACTTAATAACCTGCTGTAACTTTCAGTCAGCTCTGAAATGGTCAGGCAGCTGGACTAGGTGATTGGTGGAGGTCCCTTCCAGCAGCCTGAAATACCATATTGGTGAGGCAGGAATGAGAAACCCAGTGAAAAAACAAGCACGAGAAATGCTTACCAGGCACACAATTTATAAACTTTCATAATAACCAAAGAGGAGACCAGAGGCTTCTTAGGCAAAGTGGCAGTTACACCCCTTTTACCTTTAGCCGTAAGGCCCTATGTCCTTGCAAATACTCACCTGAACATAGTAAGCAGCATCAGGCAGCTTTTTAGTGCCCAGCACCTGCACACACACAGACTGCAAACAAAATTCCTGGGAGACAGGACAATTACAGCAATGCAGGTTAAGGAGGGAAGAAAGAACATTACGAGGTAGCCACGACTCTTGGGAGTGCAGTAGAAATCGTATGCAGAAAAACGAGCAGAAGGCAGATAAGTAGCACAATGACAGCTCTGAAGAGCACTGCAAAAGACACCGAGGGTGAGGCGATTGCTCTTGAGGGAAATAACAGTAAACCATTATCCATCTTTCAGCAAACTGATAAAGTGTGGTCTAGCAGATAATCCAGCAGATGAGGTGCCGACAGACATGATTTCCAGTTCTAGCCATGACACTCACCTCAGTGCGGGATCCAAGGTCAGGTCACCTCATCGTTTTCCCACTGTGAGAAAGAATGAAAGTGATCCTGCCTGGCGTTTGTAAAACCCAGCTTGTCAGTCAAAACCAAGAAAGATCTTTAGCTTTTAGGCTTTTAAGATGGTTTTGAGGCTCCTGTAATTTTCTGCTGATGCATTACTCCTGCTGGTCCCCTCTAACAACACAAGATTCAGGCTTTTTTCCTTACGACAATGCATGGCATATGGCAGGTTTTGAGTGTAGTGCTTAGTTGGAGTGGAACCCTACCTACAGTATTTGTTACGTATTTGTCTAGGCAGGGTAATTTAATGGCAGGAGCTTAAAACAAAGACACTGAGATTATCAACTGTATGCTTTCCACTGTGAGGCGAGAAAAACCAGGTGCAAGACAATTTCCTTCTTCTGAAGTGGGAAGATGATTCAGCTGCGCTTCTGAAAAGGAGATTATGTGTAATTTGTCAGCCACTGTTCTGAAGGGACAAGATTACATAGAGAGTAGAAACCCACAGGTGCCAAGGAGGCAGATTGAAGAGCCCTTGTAAAGCCAAACACGACCGGCCTGTGCTTCTTCGTAGAAACGTGATGTGTTCTTTCGTTTCCCGTGTTCAGAACTAGAAAAGAAGTATCGTATTTATGGCCAAAGTCCTTGTCTAGCCTAAGTTCTACAAGCTTTTTAATATAGATTTGTGTCTATGTGCAGCTATTTCTGAAGAGACTATTCGTTGTATGTGACAGGCCTCCACCGGCAGCACTACAGCTGCTGTTCTGGTACCACCAGCACCACCACCAGAGAGTCCTCAACAGGTACACCTTCCAGAAGCATCTTAAACTGCCTTTTTGGAAGAACACAGAAGAGGTAAGGGCAATGCATTACTGCTTTTCTTTTCATATTACACTTGCCATTTGTAGTAATGCATTTCTGACCTCTCCAGAAAATGTAAATGCTGAAATGATGTGCCAGTTATTGTTTTTTAAAAAAATGAAGAACTGTGGAGGAGATTAGAGATGAACAAAAGGGGCTGAGACAAAGTACGTAGGATCAGGAAGGTCAACTACTCCAAACCAAAGTAAAGGACCAAGGGATATCAGTGAATTTACAGAGAGAAGAAGCCTAACACATCAGCCCATAACTTATAAACAAACTTGTTTATATATGTTATATAATGTTTATATATGTATATATATATGTTGTAACTTATCTCTAAGACCGAGGGCTTAACGAAATGAAACCCAACGTGTTTAAGCAGACAAGTACGAGGTTCAAGGTCTAAGCAAAGCGTGAGGTGACATCACACGTGCGATACTAAATCATAATCTAGCCACCGGAAGACAGTGTATGAGGGGGAAAAAAAGGATTCTTCAAAGTCACGATTCACAATTTCTGTTTTCTTCTCATACACTGGTTACTGGAGCCAAACCAGCAAGTAGACTAGACGAGCCACCGTCAGTGATTAACCAGCAAGGACCTTGCCAGTAAGAAAGGGCAACATCACTGACTAAAGCAAAAACAAGTTGTTATCTTAGTTGTTAGCTCAGCTAATCAACTAACTTCCTTCTCCTGATCCGTACGTTGATACTGTTTCACTGGGTTCTAGGAAGGACCAGCGAACACTCTGAAAAGGGACTGACAAGTGGACGTCCTCTGAGTTAGTTTTATTAAAGAAAAGAAGAAAATACTCAACAGCAAGTGATATTAACAGCACATTTCGAAGCTCTCTTGAAGACTTCAGACGCTGTGCACATGTTTCATAGAGGAGTTCAGGATGGCCAGTCCGTTGAGTTTCCGCAGTTGAAGAATGTGCCTGAAAAGACAACAGAAAGGTTTTGGGGGGATACAAGGTGATATAAACTTTTAACAATAAAAGTTTTAGGCTTCCACTGCTTTGCTATACCCCTTGCCCAAGCTGTCAAGGATGTTTAATGCTACATTCACTGAATTCCTCCTGGAGTACCATGAGAAAGGGTTTCTAGATTACTATTCCCCACAAAAAGGAAAATGAAAGTTCTAAATAACACAGGAGAATTGTTCAAAGAAGTGACATTTCACTGTAACAAAAGTAAGAAAATCGTTGTTCCCATTTCGTATCTCTGGAGTGTCCTGCAAATCTCAGAGCAGACACTTTCCTTATTGCTCATTTGGGACCTCCAGCAGAAGCAAGGTACTTTGTGCAAGCACTTTTGGAACCTAAAGATTACCCCTTGCTTTCTGCAGTGGTTCAGGATGTACATAAACAAGCTGAACTCGGTTCCTCTGTCTGGAATGCAGTTCAAGATCCAGCTGACAGTTTGCAGCTACCTAGAGCTTGGCATATTCTTGGCAGGCAGCAGCAGACAGTCCGTGCTGCCATTTGTACTTCTGTTCCGCTCTCATTACTGCTCTGACCTCTACAAACTTGTAACATCCCTCCTCCTCCTTCCATTCTTCCAGCACAGGTACCATCAGAAAGCAACGCAAAATGAGCTCCTCGGAAGATGCCAAGACAGACAACTAACACCACGGGAGCCCTAAAGCAGAACCCTGGGGACAGTGCCACAAGTGAGAACTTAGTTAGAGGAAGGGCGATAGATTCCGTGGAGTATTTATATCAACTAACCACCTGCCCTGTACCTGCTCGCTCTACCAACAGAACTGGCTTCCAATGGCCAGTTTTTCAGGAATTATCACCCAACAACCAGGCGGCGCCGGAGAACAACAGTCTGTTTCACAATACCTTGGTTCAGCGACACAAAGCTTCCCCAGAGCCACGGCTGCGTTCTTCTGCACCGAAGGTCTTGTAGCATCACCACCAGCATGTTTCAACAAAGTCATCACAACACTGGAGTTCAGTAAGGACGCCGCTGCTCCCGGAACCGCAAGGCAGTGGCCAAGGCAGAAAGCAGCGTTTCCCACAATCATTTCATCCTCTGAGTCCAAGAGCTTCAGCAGCACACTGAACCCTGGGAAGAGAGATTAATTACACAGAATGCATGCAGATTTGTTCAGGTAGCCCCGATGTTTTCTCCTGACTTCACCTAAGCTCCTAGAGAGTGAGAATTGTTCCATGTCAAGCATTTTCCTAGAAAACCTGGAGGAGCGAGAGAATTTCAGAGCAAGGTTCATGATCTAGGATGTTGTCACAGCTTCAGCTGCCTTTCTCACAAAACTGAATCTACGCTCCCAGAGGTTCTCGAGCATGGAGTTCGTGTTTCTGCAACTGAACACGTCACCTTCACTGCTTCCAGGATCTGTGAGTTACTAGTGCACAGGGGCAGGGTACCTTGTCTGTACTTGTGACCCAGAGCTGTGCAGACCTTGCTGGCAGCTGTAAGCAGCAGCAACATCTCAGGCCACAGGACCTAGAAACATTTCAATAGACCACTTCCCAGATGAAACACAGCCACGGCTCTCACGTGCGGGCAGTCTCCTCGGGGGTTACGTGAGTTGGCTCTGACTTTCTTTCATACTCCCACTTGTTCTTTCAGATCACATCCCACCTTTTCTGCTGCAGGATCAGCTGAAAAAGGCCGTGCTGCTCCAGAGAGCAACTGGGGCTGGTGCTGAGGCTGAACTGAGTGGCCCAGCTGGCATGCACTTTAATGTCATGGGACTCTAGCTTGATTCCAACAGGCTCCTAGCAACAGGGCAACGTCTGGGGTGGCAAACAGAGATGACAAAAATACAAAGTATTTTGTATTCAAAATACTTCTCACAAGATGAATACCCAGAGTTTTGGTGGAAACAGTGAGAGTGAAGTGTCATTACTCATTTGAGGAAATGAAAGCTTCATCTACAGATGACAGTGAAACTAATATGGGGTGTAAAAAAGGAGGATGATGTTCTGAGAGGCTTCTAATGAGTGGAAATCCTTAGGGTTCAAGTTGAACTACATGAGCTGACAGTTTCTCGACAGGTTCAACCACTTAGATTAGCATTAATTGAACCTGGATTTTAAAGCAATGTAACAACAACAGAGAATACTTATGTTTTATCTAAGTAGCATGATTAGAGCTAATATACTTAAAAATATCTTAAGACACCCAGTCTGATATTATCACTCTGTCTCCATATCCATTTCCTTTTAAAACCAGGCCAAATATCCACATGTAAATTGAAGGAAGCTATAAACAGCCTCAACCTCTAGAAATCAAACACCTAAATGAGGCTTCCTACTTTAGCCACTAACTTGAGGAAATACAAGCCAATCCAATTACAGTTTACAAGCACTTTTTTCCAAAAGAGATGTATGGCTGAGTCTGAAAAAGACAACCAAGCGATTTTACTAGAGTAAAGCCGTGTTTCTCTAACTCAGGCTTATTTTCTGAGGTGCCTGTTTCCATCCACACACAGAGCTAAGGCTCATTAAGCACTATTTTAGGAGGTAATACATCACATTACTTCGAAAATAAGGCTAAAGTCTTGCAAGAGTAAAACCCAGTGTTCAGTTTCATTTCAGGGAGGAGGGGGGAGAGAAAGTAATTGGATGATACTGAGATTACATCTCTGCATTCAGTCTCTAATTAGTGAGGCTGCCACTTACTTTTATCTGCCTTCACTAGATCTTCTTGAGCTTGTCCATTACTTCTGGTGCAGATGGAAAGGGTCTTTATGCCATAACGGGATGTGATCTGTCCTGCAGCCTAGATTTGATTAGAATAAAGCACACATGGACAAACACACAGCTCGTACCCCACTTTACTCAAGGTTACAGAACAGCTTAGGTACCATGGAGATAGTGAGGTATTCCTTATGCCTAAACCCAAACACCAGATTAAGAGCTTCATCTCAAAATGAATACAGGCTGAAAATGACACAAGACCCATCACTTTCCTGCCAGTGACGAACACACAAAATTGCCTGAATCTCTGGAGCCCAATTGCTTTCAAACAATGAACTCCTCTGATACTTGCTAGTTACAGGAGCCAAGCTGAGTGCCACAACCTCTTCTAGACTAATTTTATTTGCATCACAGCAAATGTGCAGAATCCACATCAGGCTGGGGGACACACATTCTGCTAGATACACAGATATACAGCAAAACAGTGCCTACAGATTACCATATGATCAGTGGGAAGGGCTCCATTGGTTAGTGGTCCAAACTAGATCACACCACTTAAGCTTTAATCCTCCAACTGGGCCTTCAATAGCCCATGAACATGCAGGTCTCTGCAAGCAGAGATGTGCATAGGCATCTGGCTCATGCAGAAACCACTGAAAAATCTGGGCTACGGACCAGACTACAGAAGGCAATCTAGTCTCCAAACAGGCTACCTAGCTTAAAATTAAACTCGAGAACACTGTTACGAGGGACAACACAGACGCATGCAGCCAGAGGGACTGCCTGCACGGGTCTTTCTCCAAGGAAAAGGAGGTTAACACAGGGGCAACTACGGTTTTCTTAAGGAACAATATAAGCAGAAATAAAGGGAATTTTGTTATATTGATTTACTTTCAAGAATTTGATCATTTTTCTCACCACCCCTCCTTTCACCACTTCTTCTACTGCCGCGGAGGATGCTGGCAGGATGCGACTCAGCACGCCAATGGCTCTCTTCGGTACAGAACGGCGCGAGAGAAGTGGGGGGAAAAAGAGAGTTTAACTTTAAGGAGTTTTCAAATTACTTTTTTTTTGCAGAATTAACCCAAAGTAATTAAAATTATGAAAAGGAGAAATTCACATAAATATAACAAAGAACACCTTTAGGACGCTGCGTTTTTATTGCTCACTGGAAACTGACCTCAACACAGCTTCTAAAGATGCAGTGTAGAGAGAAATGAGACCAAACTGAGACCAGGACAACTCCCTGTATGCTTAGTTTTTGAAACAAATTCCTCGTTGGAACCAGCCCAGAACTGCTGGTAAAACAGATCGGACCGACCCATGTGAGTTCAGAGATGCACCTGCTCCTACCCTTGAATAACTGCTACCTGTGGGAGTCACACTCCATTCATAGGTGTTCCATCTCCTAGGTATGATTCACATACAAGAACTATAAAACAAAATAGCTGCTAACCACCAAAACTGTTCCTGCTCCCTTGCCTCCAGATTGGTTTTTAAGAGATCTACAGTGAAAGCCATTCTAAGGATGAAATGATTCCGAAGAGCTTCTATGAAGCAGATTTCAAGAGAACATTGAGAACCTCTCGCATCAAACAATATTAACAACCAAATAACCTAAGTGCTATATTAGTTCTTTACCACAAAAGATTATGAATGTTTTAGGCTTTAAAACCTAATATAGTGCCTTGCACAGGGCAGCAGTTTGCACTCAGGTGTGCAGGTCAGCTACCGATATCCCTTGTTAGTCCACAGATATCCCACTTACCGTCACAATTCTTCCGTCCTTGTCCTCCAGGAGAGACATGCACCTGCTGCTTATGTCCACAGCCGAGTACTGAAACAACAGTGAGAAAAACACAGGTCCAGCTGATTGCTGGGAAGCGTTAGAGCAAAAATGTGTGAATGTACAATGTACTCTGTTGGGTTCTTTGTTGTAGAGACCAGGGTACACAAGAAAGTAAGTTACTAACACTTCAGCACCTGGATGTACCTTAGGCATCTTTTCCTTCTTGATGGAATTCTTAGTTTTAGGTAATTTTGGAACGTGCCAAGCATCTAAGAAGATCCCATAACTGGAGACTGATGCCAAACAAGACACCTATACCACTATGGAAAGGTACTGAATGTGCTTTACACTCTATTTTTCCCATAACTGTGTGTATATGGGGGGAGGGGGGTGCTGGAGAAAATTTTGCAGATTTTTTCACTTTTTAGCTTACTTACATTGTCAACTAATCTTAATGACAACCCTAAACACCAGTAAAAACTAACTGAACACCAGCAAAACCCAAGGTGGGCAGCCTTTAAGTGCTTCAGCATGCTGGATGTGACAGCTGGCTCTAAATCCATTTACCGCCGTCGAGCTCTTTTTCCTTGCACAGACTGCGAGGTCACAATATTCCAGGGTTGTTCCCTCACCTATCCTGTTGGAATGTTCTGGTATGACTTCAGTGACTTGCATCAGGCCCTGTCAGTGTCAATGGAGGAGGATGTTCTAACTGCTCAAGCAATTCTACGCCTCTGAGGAAGTGATTATAGGAGCAACACTAACCAAGAACATTCACGGATCTTGTATACCTGGATGATCATGTTTGATTCAAGCAGTAAGTTCATCATTAGGCCCAGCACTGCAAACAAACACTCCCGGTACCTGGGGGTGCTGACATCAAAGCATTCATCCTGTGTACAAAGGAGAGAAGAGTGCAGTCAATTCAGCAGTTCAGAATACACACTTCCTCAGCCTTGTGTGGTGGTACCACTTGGGTATCTAAAGCGACACACTCCAAACTTCGGATGTTTAGACAGTTAACAAGATCCTTTCCCATTCTCTGAATTCTTGAGTTTCAGAGAACTGAGTTCATGCTGCAGCCTTACCCTGAAACATGCCAGTTACATTAAAGGACCACTCACTCCCCTCCACCCATCTACAGACCCACAATTTACATGAACAACAGACCTTTCTCCACCGACCAGATTTGAGAGATGTCAGTCAAGGGTTCAGAGCTATTACAGGAGGCAAACGTGACCACACAAGTGCCATTTCCACAAGAGATAAGGCTGCAAACATTATTCTAGGGAGCCATCAGGTTTCTTTACCAGAAGCTTTAAGCATGCTTGCCAGCACTCTTGGCACTCGGCCATCTGCGCTCGAATGGCTCCATCTGCACACAGGTTCCCCATGATGCCAATGCAACGGGCAAGGGCTTCCTGGTTCACCAGCCTGGCAGAGGTCTGAAAACAGAAGACCAGAGTAACAACTTAAGAACAAATGACAAGGAAACAACAAATACATGTTCCTATCCCTCTGGCAATGGAAAAGTGGGATTCAAGAATCTCTCCCACCTATGTTAAATCCCAACTGTCCAAACTGTCCAAACAATCCCTTATTTTCACAATGAATCTGCCAATGAGGTTTTGGGGAAACAGTGCCTGGATTCTCTTGTCCCTAACCTCGGACTGCACATTTCCTACTGTCGCTCACTTAGGTGACAGAAGAGCCTCTGCCACAGCTGCAATTCCAGAAAGGTATGTTCAAAAAGAGAGAGCAACAAGCAATGTAAAAATGCTGTAATTATTACATTGTCTTGGTGCTCATCTACAGAAGTATTGTACTTTCCAGCTACATGTGCCGTTCCGCAACACGGCCAGTCCTCCCTATCTTCCCTCTTCCTGAGGACAAGTTTGTGTGCCAACAATACTGCACGTCTGTAGTTTAAGTAAACGATAACCAGGAAAGGGATTTTAACCACTTAACACCTTTACCATGTGACCTAATGTCATCTCTTCATCCTGGTATCTCAGGATACAAAGAAACAGGAAAAAAGTCACTATCCAAGACAGAACCAGCTCATGACAGTGCATTAAAGTCACATTAAGAAGCATGTAACACAAAGCGGAGGGTGAAATCCTCCCCTGACAGATTACCAGTGGGAATCTGCAACCAAGTCCAGAGTTTTCACTGAATATCATAGAATCCCAGAATGGTTTGGGTTGGAAGGTACCTTAAAGACCACCTAGTTCCAACCCCCCAGCCACAGGCAGGGACACCGTCCACTAGACCAGGCTGCTCAAAGCCTCACCCAGCCTGGCAAAGCTAGGCATGTGTAGGCACTGAGCACAAAGTACTTACGAGAACGTTTTTCTGAGGAAAGTGTATGACAAAATAGGGTTTCTTACACCTCCAGAACTAGAGACGCAGTAACTCCTGTAGTTACGGCACAGAGGGGTTTTGTCTGGGAGCAACCGGCTGTAAAACTGGCAGGAGCGCTCACACGACACGTTACACAGAAGTAAACCAGAAAGAGAGAAACTAAAATCTTTCGTACCAGCAACTGGGTGAATAAAGGTAAAACACCTGAGGAAAGCATGACACGACACTGGGTTTTGAACCTGTTGAGGGATAAAGAAAGCCGTATTTGGACACTTTTTTTAAGGAAAAAACCCCCCATGGATAAAGACAACACAACAACAACATGAAGACAAGGTAAACATCAGTCAGCAACGTACCCTCACACCAAAGAAGGCCAACAGCCTCTACCACCAGCTCATTTAGTACGTTTCAAAGTACAGTGTTCCAAAAACAAATGAAGAAATGTAAGCTACCTTTCCTCCTCCATTAAATCAGACAGTATGTTCATGGCACTGCTAGCCCTGGCATCAGTGCAGTTGACAAACGCCATCAAAATCTGCAGCCATCTGTCATTAAAAAAAAAACCCAAAATTTATGTCAACTGTGGTTTAATTATTAAAGATCAAATCTGTATTCGAAGGGGAGAAAAACAGTTTATGATCTTCAACTCCCTTGTGTTCAGTAGAGATTTGACCAAGCCAGATATACGAGGCCCTTCCCACGTACTCAGTCACCTAACTGCCATTAGAACAATATTTTGGCACTAGATTCTCTACCTATTAACCCTCTTTGCCCAAACACAGCAATTTACCAATTTCTGTCAGCATTAAAAAATTACATCTGTGTGTAAGCTTGGTGCTGGTGGAAGAGTTCTGACCATCGGTGAGCCCAGGCATTAAGGAAATTTTTCTGGGGTACAGCAATGTTGATTACTTGGTTAGGTCCTGGTGCCTGACCAGCAGTCTCCTCCCATTCTCATTCTCTAAGTAAAGAGAAATTAGTGCCAAGGTCTCCTTTTGGATCTCGGATACCCCAGAAGAAAGCAGGTTTGGCAGCTGTGCGTTCACATCAGGGTGACTCAATAGAAGGCGCTGATTTTCTTCTGGAAAAGAGAAGATCTAAGAGCAATGTGGCATCCCCATTCCCTTATATTCCAGACACGGTGAGTGCCATATTAACCATAACAACATAAAACATGAACAATAACATTAATTAATGTTGATGATTTAGTTTTACCATTCCCAGCGCAGACAGCTTGCCAAAGGAGAAGAAGAGCAACAGACAGCTCCGCTTCAGCAGTGCTTTTTCTCTCTGCACAGAAGCCCCTAAATGAGAAACATTAGCTTGTAACTAAGAGCAAAGGGCAGATCAAACAGCTCTTTGGCTAGGGAAATCAGCAAAGTCCCACAGAGATGACGATCTGCCACAGAAACACTTAAGCTTATAAACTCTAAAGTCAGCTCATTGCTTAAACCTTTTAGGACTATCAGACTTGTTTTCCAGAGGATCCCCCCTGAGACCAGATTTAGGATCTACTGGCTCTACCCCACCACACAGAGACCCCATACCAGCATTACACAGCACAATACAGGTGATAAATGCAGTTCTGCACCAAGATAGTTGAGAATAACCAGGATGAAAAAACTCTGCACATTTGGAAGTGCTTCAACCTTTGAGTCTGCTTCCAGCCAACACCCAAAATACTGAGGAGCCCTAAAGAAGTCCTTGTGCTGCGTTTCCATTGGCAGCCTTAAAGAACAGCTCTCCTGCCCTGCTACCCAACCGAGCTGTGCAAAATTTTCAAATGGGCTCTGTTGCACAACCCACCCGTTCCCATTATCTACCTGAACCTGGCTCAGTTATACATTCAGGCAAGAGATCCCTCTAACGACAAAATTTAGAAAGCAATACAGATGAATAGCCAGCCTTGTTTCCTGATTACCGAAACACAGTACAACAGCAGCCGAGACAACGCGGCAGCTGCAGCTCCCCAGAAGATCCTCTTCCTTGATGACAGGATTAGTTTCACAGGTTGCATAACAGAGCCATGTGGCCAGGTATTTACTGATGGCAACCAACAGCCCCAGGCAAACTAGCCAGGTATACTTAAAGCCACTAAGTGCTCTCAGATGTTCTTTCATATGAAGTTTCTTTTACACTCCTGCTCTCACCATGAGAGACATAACTGTACAGAAAGAGGAGCCCGGCAGAAATTCATTCTCTTCACCCCACCTAAGAGAGCACTGTTTGTATGAGAGTCGGGTATGTCAGTCCATTCAGACACTGAAATCTGTTATTACATTATCTTTTGACCATTTCATCTGCATTTCAAGAGGTGATTGTGTTTCTTGAAAACAATATGTTCATTTCCTCATGCTGTGACACCCCACTGTTTTCCTCTGGAGAGCCCTTACCGTCTTACGGTCTGGTTGTCTTGGAGGATACTGAATCCATTGTTTGTTCTAAATAAAGTTTGCTCAGTGCCTGAAAAATTCAGAGAAAAACAAATCAGGTCTCTGATCCACCTGGCTGTTGTAGCACTGTGAAGGTAGACTCCTGCTCTTCTAGAACGCAGTGTTAAAAGAAAAGGTCACTGGATCAACAGCTCCAGGGAAAGCACATTGTTACAAGAGAGGAGAAACTCCAAGAATGCTACTTGAACAAGAGGCAGCTCTGAAAGTCAAGACTGCTTGAATTCCTGCCCCGTGCTGTAAAGAACAATTGACTTCAAGCTAAAGGTGTTTTAAGAAGAAAAACATGAAACATGAGACTGGCTCTGCAAATCAATGTACTGTAACAGAGAAGTACAAATATTTCTAGATAAATGAAACGGCTCTTAAGAGACCCAAATCCATAAGAAGTCTTAACAACTCAGCTACAACCCTGGCCTAGTTCTAAAAAGTGCATGGAAACATCTACGGGCCACAAATTTTGAAATATCAAACATTGCTGATTTAATGTCTTACGCATAGGAATATTCTTTCTGTTCCTTTAAAAACTGCTCCACCTGTATTCATCTACTTGGATTGCAACTCCCATGAATAACAAGCTTTGTGGGAAATACTTACTATCTTTCACAGCTCCTGTCAAAAGTCTGATCCCTCCTGTATAGTAGAGGATATTCTGGTCAGGCCTATCCAGTTTCTGCAGCAGTTCTGTTACGGACACAGCAGCCAGCTTTCCAGAATAAACTTCCTTCATTGCTCTCTCTTCATCTCTCATTCTTTTTTCCTCCAAGTTTACTTCGTTCATACAATCTTGGAAATCAAAAGAAAACAAAGCATGGCAGTTAAATATTTTTATGTGCTCAGGTTTAAAGTAAAACAAGCAGCTGACTCCATGACAGAGCAGCACCTTCTACATGCAGAATGACCCACAGCTCTGCTGAGTGAAAGAGAGCTTAAAAAGAAACAAAAGCTGCATGAAGAGACTTCATCAAAAGTTCTGAAGACTAAACCAGTGGTTTTGATTAAGTTCCATCTTGAGCAGAAAACAACAGATGACAGTGTAAAAACTTCTATTTCTTACCTTTAAATAGGCTTTTCTTTTGGGGATCAATTTGTAAGATCTTCTCGTAACACTGCCTGGACTTAAAAGAGAAAAGAAATGGGCTCTTAATTTAAGATAAAAATGGGAAGATAATAAAAATTATATCCTAGTCAGAGTCACCCTGTCTAAGCTCAAAAGTTCTTGGGCCACAGTACTTAGTAAGTGTCAAAAATTAAATCTATGGAGACACACAAGGCAAAACTTTCCTAATTAAAAGAATAAGTTATTACCCTCAGTCCCTACAATTTCAAATCAAAAGGAAAACTTCAAGTACAAACCTAGGAGCAAAAAAGCCAAGTCCCAGTGAGAAAACAGCAAATGAGGCCCAGCATCCACACTGCAGGAACTGTAGCCACCAGCAGAGACCAGGCACGTGCATCTTTACCTTCCCTTCATGCATTTTTGTGACGCTTGAGTGTATGCTCAGCATGAAAACGATCTCCAAACTTGCACCATCACATCAAAAGCAGAACAAAACATGGTCCCATGGCCACAAGATTTAGTCAACTTACCTCACTGTAGTGCTTAAGGGCCAGGTGAGCTTTCCCCATTAGAAAATAGGCTTTAATACATTTTTCACTGCACTGTGATAAGAAAGGAATTGTTAATTATGTAAAGGAACTATTAATTATGTGTTTAGAAATTTTACCCTTTTAGTATTTTTTCCAGCCTTCTGATTAATCATTATAGATGGCCAAAATCACTGTAATCACAGAGGAGGGTATTCATACCATCTACTGGAGCCATCTACAGTTTATATGCTGAGTTCTTACTTCGAGGTACCAACTTCTCTTCCCTGTGCAAGGACATAGGCTTCGGTCTGGTTACACGTGGAAAGCAGCTGGTGCTGACACCCTTCTCAGAAACCTGCACTTCAGGCAATAAAGCAGACTCTCATGCCATTAGGTGATGTGAAAGCCTGCATCAGTAAGTCTGTAATTGCAGAACTTCTATAGCAACAGGATTTCTGTGTGGCTTTTGATGAGTTCTGCCAGGAATGAAATACAAACTAATGTTCATGGGCTGTGCACAAAACAAAACCTCAGGAAATATCTAGCTCAACACTAACACGTTAAGTGATCTTTTCCAGTTCAATTACATCAGACACACTGATTTACTGAAATGATGCTGCCAATATTTTTAATAATCTGTTAATTGTGTTGTAGTCATGGACATCACTGATGTAACACAACTCAATTTGTTGACAGAATCCTTAAGTTACCTTTAAGGCCCATTCACAGTCACCAATAGCCTTTTCATACTCATGCAGCTTCAGGTAGGCCTGCAGTAACACCAAGAGAGTCCAGGCAGAAGAATCAGAACACTTCAAACCACTTCCAGGAGCTATTGTACCAACATTAGCCAATTAATAAAAAAAATAAATAGACTATTGATTTGCCTACCCACTGATTTTGCAGGATACCTACCAGCTGTTTCTTGTCATCCACCTACTTGGAGTTTGTAATTTAGAATAAATTTAATAAAACAAAACTGCATGCACACATACGGATTATGCAAGGCAAGCAGAGAATGTAAAGCAAATGTTAACATACTACAGTTACAAAAGTGATCCTCACCAAGAAAAAAAAAATCAGTGCATTTGAATACATCTGTGAGCTAGAATGACTTTTTCCCAATTACTCTGGAGGAGCAGGGGTTCCCCTGTGCCATATCCAAGAGGGAGGAGACATGAACTCTCCCTCAGGAAGGACGTCGTAAACAAATTTACTGTTGATAATACGGCAGCAAAGCAGAACTCATTAAAGCCTGGTAGGGGAGGAGGGCCAGGAAAAAGTGTTTGCTGCCTTTTTTTAGCCTTTCTGTAAAGCAACATGGATTACCTTTTACGAAATTTGCTTAGATAACAGAACGATCCTTTCTGGGCTCTATCCTGGCAAAGCAACACTGAAAGCAGTATTGTGGCAGCTCGTTCCCACATGCTGACCTGTGCTCTGTTTGTGTAAAGCTCCTGCTTATCTTTCAGTTTTTCCAGACCTTCAGTGTATCTCTGAACGGCCAGGACATAGTCTCCTTTCCTGAAGGCATCGTTTCCTTTCTCTTTCAGAGCTGTAAAACAGCAGACACGCATTCAAAGCAACATCTGGGTTTTATTTCCCCAAGTGGTGACTGTGGAAAGAGAGGCCATATTCTCCTGTTGGCAGAATCACCACAATTCCACTCCAGCCCCACTGCACACCTCTTCATCAGCCACTATTGGCAAGGGACTTCTGAGTCCTTCAAGTGCACATGATCCCCATTCCTCTTTCAGAGGGAAAACTGAGCATTTGTCTTTGCCCAGCCCAGCTCTGAAACAGACTTGCTCCCTCCACCCCAGACCCTTATCATAAAGGGGAGAGCATGAAGAAGCACCCGTTGCAGCTCTGAAGTACGTAACCCTGTGATGTCCAGCTCATCAATGCTGTGGACAAGACCGTCGGTCTCAGACAACCAAAGCCCTGCCTCACTGCGCATAAGGATGGCGGTAAGAGAGTAGCTCGGTGGCCTCTTACACCAGCCCAGTTCCTGCCAAGTAGTTTTTGAAGGCATTTGCTAGAAAAGCCTTTAGCAATTACCATTTGCTAAGTGTTCATTTCTCTTCCTTTGTTTAGCTCGTTCTTTTGCATCCTTTTCCAAAATTGCCAGAAAGCCATCTTTGGGTCAGGAGAGTTGGAGGTATTTTAGTTTTGGGGAGGGGGGGAAAAAAAAGGAAAGCTTCATTAAAATCAATCTACAGATAAGGAAAAAAAGTAACTTTATGGTATTTCATTTTTCTACACAGAAAACATAAAGTGGACACTTCAACAATTAAAGCAGAACATGAATGACAAGGCATTACGCATGAAGACCATGCCACCACTCAGGATCTGCACTCTTGCCTCAAAGCATCTCATCTCCAGAGACAAACTTGCTTCCTTTTAAATTCAGAATACCAACGTTTTAGTTGAGAGGTCAGGATATGGTAACAACCTACACCAACAAGCTTCCTGTGAACAAACACAGGAAGATCTGGATCTTACATACCAGTAAGATCCCTGAGTGTGTTCTAGATCTGACTGAATTTTGATTAAAGTCAGCAGCAAAGTAACTTTTGACTTGGTCAGGAGAGGAATTAGGTCTTGCATGAAGGAAGAGCAATCCTTACTCCACCTCTGCCAAAAGAGACTGACGAGACGCTGAATACTAGAGGGAGCGCTGTCCTACCTGCGTTCGCTGCCTCTGTGCTCGCCGTGCCCTGGAAAAAGAGAAACACAGCACAGGCATGTACACGTAAAGAAAAAAAAAAAACGTAGGCCATTTCAGTAAAGCCCACCGCAGCAGAGGAACGCTTGGCGAAGTTGTTCAGAGCGACAGGGCAGCTGAAACACCCAGACTGATGCATACTGGGAATATCAAGCTGACACTTAAACGAAGGATGGTACAGATTTAGTAGTGTTTGACATACGAGCTTCCGTTTGTATTTTTAATGAGGCAAGTCACTGAAATCCAAACCCTGTGGCAGGAATCAAAGTCTAATGAAATTAAGAAAGGGATTCTTGTGGCTTCAACGAGTTTTGCTCACGCTCCGGAAGCTACACGTTACAGCACCTCAGTGCTTGCATCCAGCTTGAGCAAACCCAGCACTAGCATCCCACGTTAGCAGCAGCCTCAAAGACAACACAACACCAAGTACCTCCCAGTAAGACAGCCAGTGAAAAAAAACAAGTCACGTTCAGAACACACTTTGTATTCTTCAACACCTTTCCTCCTGGGTAAGGAACGTGCATCGGTGTTTTTTAACAGACCTAAACTGCGTGCAGCTTTAACTTCACAGGGAAAAACCATCTTACAGAGGCTCGGGTGTTGATGACTGTTCTGTCCGCTGTGGTCTTGCATTCTTCCTCCTTGCTCGTTTCTTGAACATGGAGCTTTTTCTCTGTCGCAGCAACCGTTTTTGCCCTGACGGTCGGGTCTGCGGAGCTCAAGCCTTGCACTAAATTGGCTAAAAAGGGGACAGGGCAAAAAGAGAGAGACACATAAGATTGATCCTGAGGGACCCAGTTCAGCTGTGCCTCTGATGACACATGGTTTTGAAGGCACTGGTGAGCAGGACGGCCTGTATAAACGGGAATAGTTACAAATACAACCTCCAAGAGCTGCCTGCAGCCTCTGCCTTACAAAAATTCCCAAGGATTTAGAAAGCAACTCCTGGCAAAGCCTCAAAACACCTGAGCTCCTAAGGAGACTTCTCCTAAAACAAACTCGGGAGGGAGGGGCGGGAATTTTCCTCTTTTCCAGTCCTTTTCCGCCTTCCTATCACCCATCCCCCTTCCGCCAGGCCCCCGTACCCCATAGCAGGTC